ATTTGGATTGTTTCCTGTATTTTTTTTTCTCACAAACAATGCAGTAGATATGTCTTTGTCCACATTCACTGTTGAATATAGCTATAGTATTGGAAATAGTTGTATTTTAAGTGCTTCATGAGGGCCCTTAGAGCTTCATATTATTTCTAAAGTGTTTCCCAAGGTGTTGGCTGGGCTCTCAGGAGTTGGTGGTCTGGGTTTTGGGGGTGGGGGGCTGTACACCACAAAGAGGCATAAGGTGCTAGAGAGTTGCCTGGCAGGGTTATCAGGACAGAGCTGGCTGTAGGCCTGATCAAGTAGGAACGACATAGTAAAATAGTTAAAACATAGAAACTCAATTAATTAAAACTTCTTTATATACATTGAGGGTGTTAAAAAGTTACTAGTGCCTAATTCTTCTTATGCTTTCTCAGCTCCTCCCATGGGGGAAAAGATAAATACCATATTATTTGGAATGCCTTACCCAGCTGTATGACTTGAATGATCCTGATAAGCAAGGATTTCTAAGGGAAATGAAGACTCATGTGTCACACAAGAAACATTATCTAAGTGATTCTGGGATTTTCTGTGAAGATGTTGTGTTTTTTGAGGGGATTTTTCTAATTATCTATTGCAGTTTGAGAAACCAGCATACTTTCTTATGAAAAAGGCCCTTGCACAGAAAGTGCTCTATCTTTTGCTTAAAATCTGGGGTCAAAGGAGAGATTTTAAAACATGATGATAATAGCAATAGCTTTTATTTAATAACATAGGCATAAATAATGTCATTTACTCCTCACAGGACCTCTTTCAGGGAGATTTCGTATATTGGGAAGCACGCTCATAAGCTTTCCCACCAACACCTTCCCTAGGGCTCCCCATTTTCAGTCATTGACTGTGCTATTCATCCAATTATTTTTAAAGTTAGAAGTCTAGTAATTTTTTTTGTGATATCTATCTTAACCTCATCCTCCCATATCCAAAGCTTCATCATAGGAGGTTTGTTTTGCCTCCTAAATTTCTCAAGAATCTTCACTTTTTCTTTTTCCATCACTTTAGTCCAAGTGAACTGCTTCCTCATCTCATTTGCAGTATCTTTAAATTTCCCCTAGATTACCAATTCTTGTCCCCCCTCCCAATTCATTCTCTACTTATTATCTAACACTAAGTCCTTAAATGTTCATTCTGACCATGTCATTCCTTGCTCAAAACTCTCTAGTCCCTTCCCAATGTCCTTAGAATAAAATTGCTCATATGGCCTCTGTGGATCTGCACGACTAGTCTCCCCTACCTCTCCACCTATTGCAACCAACACTTTCCCCGATACCTCTTTCCAGCTACACTGGTATTTCTGTGCTGCAAACTGGTCAAATTCTCCATTCTCAGTACCTTTCACAAACTTTTTCTTTGCCTTAGAATTCTTCCTTGTCCTGCTCACTTCCACATCCCTGTTCCCCAAGCTAATGCTTTAAGTCTCATTTTAAGCATCTCTTAGCCAGGGAAATTTCACAGTCCAAACGAGTCTAGATTGGATCTCCCTATTATGTGCTCTTACTACTCTATTATTTCTCCTTAGCACTTACAATTTTATAGTTATGTTCCATATAGTACAAAGTTCAAATTGCACACGAAATATAAAGTCTCTTCCCTTCCCTGTCCCTCAACTATCCAGTTCTTACAAGTAACCACTTTTGGCTTTGAATATCCTTCCAGAGATATTTTCTAAGTATACAAGCAATTATGTACATAGTATTCCTCTTTATTTTGCTTTCTCTGATTAACACAGATACTGCATACATTTTTCTGCACTTTGTTTTTATCTGTTAATAATGTATCTTGACAATTCTTCTGTATCAATATGTAAATAGTTGCCTTTTCTTTTTCATGTACCATATACTATGGGCTTATGATCATTTATTTAACTTCAATTATTGGGCATTTAGGTTGTTTTTAAGTTTTGGTTATTACAAACAATGCTGCACTGAATAACTTTGTATGTAAAGTCATTTCCCACATTTATACCTGTAGAATAAATTCCTAGAATTGCACTAATTGAGTTAAAGTTTATGTGTGTTTTTAATTTTGGTAGTTCTTGCCAAACTGCTCTCAGTGGAGGTTGTACCAACTGACATTCTCACTAGCCACAGATGAAGAATGCATGTTTCCTCACAAGTATGCCAGTGAAAATTTTTGTTCTTTGTCAATGTGTGAGGTGGAAAGTATCCCTTGGAAACTTTAATTTGCATGTTTTCTTCCTTGCAAAGTTATATTTTCATATGTTCAAAAAACCATTTGTATTCCTTATTTAGTGAACTGTTTCTTCATAAACTTTGCTTACATTACTATTTAATGTCTGGCTCACTCCCTACTCGCTAAGGTTGATCCTTCTGGTACAGGGGTCCTGTTATGTTTCGTTCATCACATATTTGCTGAAATGTATGATGCTCAAGAAATGACCGGCTCATGTCATGCAATAGTCAAATCCAGAACTCGAGTTTGACTCCAAAGCCCACACATACTCATGATCATCCAGTGGAAAGACCAAGCATTTGATTCGCCACACCAGAGGCCAGATAAGCAATTTAAAATGGGCGAAGTGCACTGGGAAGTGAGAACTGGCAAAAAGGTGAACAAATGCCTATCTATAGTTTTCAGATCTGTTTTACCACCTTGGAGGAATGCAGGCCCATTATTGGATCTTTATTTATTTTGAGACCGGGTTTCTGGCTTTCTTGTGAAATCTGACTTGTCCGTTGTAAGAATGTCCAAACTTGTAGAAAATTTTTATAAAAAATTATTTGAGCTAAACAGAATATAACTAGGAGCAAGATCTCAACAGACAGAAAATTCTCAGAATGAGAGTTGGCAGCTTCATTTATGCATTTGGAATTGAGGGAAGTAGGAAGGATACATGAAGGTGGGAGAAAGCAAGGTGAGGATTGAATTACAGCATAGTTAACAAGATTATGAGCTCTGTTTGGAAAAGAGACATTTCAAAGGTGTGTTAACCTAGATGCACAGAAACGATGAACAGGGCTTGTTTAAGGCAAAGATAAATCTTTCACTAAAGGAGTTATAATGCCTGAGGTGTGACTACCCACGAAGACCTGCCCAGTTAGGGATTTGTGATCAGATCACCCTGTGAGGTTACTTATCTTAGAACCCCCTTTCCATCCACAATTAAAAATATTCCAGTCAAGACTGCTGAAATGCAGTCTACCAGCAGTGGGTTTGCAAACTCTGGCATAAATAAGAATGGAAGGCTGATGAGATGAGCACCTTAGGTGGATATGAAAACAAAGAAACAAGGAGATTTTTACATAAGGTGAGAATGTCCTGGGTTTGGGGGCTAGGGACTCCCAGGAGGGAGAACTGAAATACAGTTATGCACCCCTTAATAATGGGGATTGTTCTGAGAAATGCATCATTAGACAAACTTGTCCTTGTGTGAACATGAAAGCATGTACTTCACACAAACCTGAATGGTATAGCCTACTACACACCTGGGCTATATGGTACAGCCTAGCAATTTTCAACTGTGTTCATCTTATGGCACACATAAACGAATTACTAAAATTCTGTGGCACATCAAAAAAAAATATTTTTTTGCTGGCCTGACAAAAATATAGGTAGGATTTTCATTCATGCACACACGACAGCTATTGTTGTGTTGGCTGTTGTCACTTTTTGATTTGGCAATCTAAGGGAAAAGAGGTCCATGTCCCCTGACTGAACAGTCAGGTATTGAGTGTTTTAAGGATTCTTGTGGCACACTGGTTGAAAAATCAGTGATACAGCTTATTGCTCCTGGGCTACAAGCCTGTATAGAATGTTACTCTACTGAATACTGTAGGCAATTATAACACAATGGTAAGCATTTGTGTATCTAAACATCTAAAATGTAGGAAAGGTACAGTAAAAATGTGATACAAAAAATTAAAAAGGGGCCCTGGCTGGTATGGCTCATGGACTGAGTGCCAGCCTGCGAACTGAAAGGTCACTGGTTTGATTCCCAGTCAGGGCACATGCCTGGGTTGTGGGCCAGGTCCCTGGTTGGGGGCTTGCAGGAGGCAACCAGTCAATGTATCTCAAACAATGATGTTTCCCTCTCTTTCTCCCTCCTTTCCCCTTTCTCTAAATAAATTAATTGAATCTTTCAAAAATAATATAAAAAAGAGTACATCTGAACAGAGCACTTACCATGAATGGATGTTGCAGGACCGGAAGTTGCTTGGAGAGTCAGTGAGAGAGTAGTGAGTGGCTGTGAAGGCCTAAGACATTACACTACTATAGACTATAAACACTGTACACTTAGGCTACAACAAATTTATAAAACAAAAGATTAAATCAAGCACAAGAGAAAATTATGCAAGTAAGAGTCACAGTAAACACAAGATGTAGGAGGATGCTGCTGGTGTAACAGCTTAATTTTTTACTACATAGAAAGTACACTATAACAAAAAAAGCATAATAAGTACATAAGCTAGCAACATAGTTGTTCATTATCAAGTATTATGTATGTACTATACTTTTGTATGACTGGCAGTGCAGTAGGTTTGTCACCACAAACATGTAATGTCTTGCATAATGTTAGGACAGCTCTGATGTCACCAGGTGATAGGAATTTTTCAGCTCCATTACAATCTTAGGGTTCGTCATTGATCCAAATGTTGCTATGCTGTCACTGTAAAGCCAGGCAAAGTCATGTAGCAGGAGGGCTGCATTGGCTGTCCCAGGTGTGGCTGGTCACTCCAGCTTTGGCGGCCCAGGGTTTCTCCAGCACCATCCTGGAAATAGTGGGCAGCGGTAGGGGTTACCCAGGGACGACTGGCTGCACAATCCCTCATCAGCCCAAACTGCCTGTGGGGCAGCACCCAACCCTTCCCCACCCTCCAGAAAACCACCAATGGGGGTGAGAGAAACCGTCACGCTCCCACCTACTTCCTTTTCTGCTCAGGCCCCTCCCACTATCCCAGTGCTACAACTTCCGCATGGTCGTCTGGGAAACAGCTTACTTCCGGCCGCGCACATGTGGGCGGAGCCAAGATGGCCGAGGAGCTGATTGCGACGGTGAGCGCCGATCGTGTGTAGCTGCCTGCCTGGCGGGACTGGTCGGGGCAAGGCCTTACGGGGCGGGGCGGGGCGGAGCGGAGCGGAGCGGAGTGAAGCGAAGCGCGAGGCAGGCTGTCAGGTGTCCTCTGTCTAACCAGCTGCCCCTGTTCTAGCGCGGACCAGTGTCCCAGGCGAGCTACTTGGACTTGGAGGCGGGCGGGGAGCCACAGGCCGGCTCCCGGGAAGTGGTCGGTCGGCGAGCAGGACTGAATTTTTTGCACCCCTGGGCCCGTGGCTCCCCTGGGGGGTCCACTGGACGGAAAAGGGAGATTTCCATCAAAAATGGCTTTCTTCTAGCGCTACCTTTTCTGTTTTGTTGGGTTTGGAAACACCGGCTGTGCAGAGGCAGGCAGTTTCTGTTAATGCCCTGGATTAGGAATTGAATGTGATAAAACTTGCAAGGGTTCAGCGTCTCTGCCTTCTGCCCGGTGGGGCGGTGCCATGTTTTCTCCCCTGTGATTAAATTTAGGAAAGGACTCTTTACGGATTAAACTCTGCAGAGTTGCCATTACAAAGTAGCCCAGGTGAATTCTAAGTGACCCAGTAGTACTCATTTTTGAGGCGCACATTCATAATTAGGTATACTTTTTACCTTATTTTAGTATTGGGTTTCAGAGCTTTTTCTACGTATTTGTTAGAAGGACTTCAGTTTTCCAGAGCCATTTGAAAAACGCCCTGGAAGACATATATTTTGGCTGTTAAAGAGCAAGACCATTATTATCTCTCAGAGGGGCCATTTGTTTTCTATTCTATTTATATCAGCGGAGAAATTATTTTAGTGTAATCAGGAAACTCCGAGTGCAGAGCAGGAGGCCCAACGCAAAGATTTTTTTAAAGCTACGAATTAAAAAAAAAAAAAAGGATAATTAGTATTACTAGATTTTAATATTGGAAACATACCAAAAAAAATTTGCCTGCATAATCTTAAATGTAAGGTATCATGGGAACATGGCATTGCTACAAGTATAGTTTATACTTTGGTGCTCATTGCAGGTATAGAAAGCTGTTCACCTATAGCATGTGAACTGGATTTCTGTGGTGTAAGAATTGTCCTGTTCTTTTCAATCTATAATAGTGTTTTATTGTTTAAAGAGAAAGGGGGAAGGAGGGAGAGAGGGAGAGAAACATGGATATGTGAGAGATACTTTGATTGGTTGCCTCTCACACGTGTGTGCCCTGGCTGGAAATGGAACCAGCAACCTTTCAGTCCACACGCTGGTGCTCAGTCCACTGAGCCATATCAGTCAGGGCTCTAATAGTATTTTAAATGGAATGGCTTTTTTGTATTGATATGACTTTAGCACTTGAGCCTGAAGCTTATTTATTTTCATTATTGAAAAATTTATTGTTAGTGTTACATTTATAGTAATTATATCTTTTCATATTACCACTGCATGGAAATTTGAGTCTTTTTTTGTTTTTTTTTTTTTTGGAAATTGTTTAATACTTTAAAAAAAAGATTTTATTTATTTTTAGACAGAGGGAAAGGGAGGGAAACAGGGAGAGAAACATCAATTTGTGGCTGCCTCTCGAGCGCCCCCTACTGGGGGACCTGGCCCACAACCCAGGCATGTGTTCTGACTGGGAATTTTGGTTAGCAGGCAGGTGCTCAGTCCACTGACCACCACCAGTCAGGGCAGACATCTTTTAATAAAATGATCCAACAATCCTTCTAGACTGGTATCCTATCAAAATAGAAGGAAAACATAAGCATATAGTACAAGGATATTTATTGAGGTGCTGCTTACAGTTGCAAAAAGCTGGAAACAGTGAATGCCCATTGGTGAAGTAATGGATGACTTCTGATATTTCCATGTGTAAGAAGATTATGCAGCCATTTGATCGAATGTTAGCACTATATATGTTGACCTGGAGGGATTTCCATGGTATATATTTAAATAAAAGCTAGATGTGAAGTGGGGTATATTGTGTGATCGTAATTTTGTGATACAAAGGAAAAAAACACATACATCTGTAGATATGGATATATAGATATACAGAAGACAAAAACAAAACTCACAGAGATAACTCTGAACAAATGCATAAATAAAATCTACAAATGCTGTAGTAACAGCCTTAAGGCCAGATACATCCCAACAAAATGGAGTGAAACTAGTCCAGTGTGGGACACGCAGAAATTCTAATTTGCTACCAAAATTATTTAGATTATTACTGGTTCTTTAGGGAGGGAAAGTGGGGGCTGATATTTATATTTTATTTTATTTAAGAATATAACAAATGTTTCAGGGATCTTTTTGAAAAAACAGCAAATAACTCTCATTTCCATGACTTACATTTTTTTGTGATTCCTTAATTCCCATTATTTGATGTATTTGTATAAACATCTTTCTTAGAGTAAAGTTTAAATCCTTCAGAACACAGCAAAAATCACTATTGCACTAGTTGATTGGGTTCAAATAGAGTACCTACTACAGATCAAGCATTACATAAATATTTGATAGATGCAGAAATGATCACAGAGCTACATAAAAATGAAGAAAGAACCAACCCCCCCCAAAAAAGGATTTTATTCTACATACATCCCAGCTATAAATGAGATCAAATGGGTTAATAGAATCCTAGAATGTTCTGGAAAGTTTTGAGGGACACATCAAAAATATATATAATTTATTTTAACTTTTGTGTAGGTGGAAGGATTGCTGACTCATGAAGGTGCTTTTAAACCGTTAAAATTCTTTACTTAGTATGTTCCCCAAAGTTCAAAAAAACTCCCCAAAAAACAAAACTCAGATCAAAAACAGGAGAGTTCTTCAGCGTTTTAAAAATAGCTTTGTTGGGGTATAATTATACATACCATAAAGTTTACCCATTTTATTTTTTATTTTTTTAAAGATTTATGTATTTTTAGAGAGAAGGGAAAGGAGGGACAAAAAGGAGAAAAACATCAAGGCATGAGACATACATCAATGTGCCCAGACATACATCGATCTGTTGCCTCTTGCATTCCCCAAACTGGGGACTTGGCCCACAACTCAGGCTTGTGCCCTGACTGGCAATTGAACCAGTGACCTCTTGGTTCTCAGGCCAATGCTCAGTCCACTGAGCTACACCAGCCAGGGCAAACTGACCCATTTTAAACAAAGTTTTATTAATTTTGGTAACTTTATATAGTTGCACAACTATCACCACAACTTATGTCCATCACTCCAGACAGATCCCTTGTATCAATTTGCAGCCAGTCCCCACTCAAAACCTCAGCCTACTGATCCGCTTTCTGTCTCCATAATTTTGCCTTTTCTAGCAATTTCATATAATGGAGTCACGCAATATGTAGTCTTATGTGTCTGACTTTAGTATGTTTTATGAAGTTCATATTGTTATATATGACAGTAGTTTGTTTTTATTTCTAAGCAGTATTCTATTGTATAAATACGTTTTGTTTATCCAGAAATTGATGGATATTTGGATTGTTTCCTGGTTTTGGCTATTATGAATAATGTTATGAATATTGGCATACAACTTTATGCATGGGTATGTTTTCATTTCTCTAGGAGTGGGATTGCTGGGTTGTGTGGTTAATGTGGTTAATGTGAATAAACCTGCCAAACTGTTTTCCAAAGTGGCTGTACCATTTTACATTCCCATGAGCAATGCATGAGTGTTTTAGTTTTTCCACATCTTTGTTAACACTTGGTATTGTCAGTCATTTTTTAAATTTTAGCCATTATACTGGTTGTGTACTCACGGTTATTTTGGTTTTTAATTTGTATTTCCATAATGGGTAATGATACTGAGTACTTTTTTTCTGTGCTTATTCATCCATCTCCTTTTTCTTCTTTAAAGATTTTTTTAAAAGATTTTATTTATTTTTAGGCAGAGGAGAAGGGAGGGAGAAAGGGAGGGAGAGAAACACCAGTGTGTGGTTGCCCCTCATGTGCCTGCTCCTGCAGACCTGGTCTGCAACCCAGGCATGTGCCCTGACTGGGAATTGAACTGGGGACCCTTTGGTTCACTGGCCAGTGCTCAGTCCACTGAGCCACACCAGCCTGGATTCATGCATATCCCTCAGTGAAGTGTCTCTACAAATTTTTCCAGTTTTTATTTTTATATTTTTTTCATATTTTTCTTCTATTTTTAAATGGGTTATTTGCTTTAGTATTAAGTTTTCTGTTTATTGAATCAAGATAATTAAGTACCTAAAAAAACATTGTCCTCTTTTATTTGAGGGTTAATTTTTGTTGTTATATATATCTTCTAATAGAGTGAATAAAAGGTTATATGTAGATTTTAAAGAACAATAAATGGAAACTTGTGTCCTGTGACACAAATTAAGAAATAAGTATTGTTAAGAAATAACAATAACTTTGAAATCTCCTAAGTATCTCTCCTCTGTTGCATTTTTCTTCTTCCCCATAAGAAGTAATTTTCCTCAACTTTATGTTATTTTGCTTTTTAAAAGTAGTTTTATTATATCTAATACTCCTAAATAATATATTGTTTTTATTTTTTATTTTTTAGAGACAGAGAGAGAAAGGGAAACATTGATTTGTTGATCCACTTATTTGTGCACTCATTGGTTGCTTCTTGTATGTGCTCTGACTGGAGATGGAACCCCCAACCTTGGTGTGTGAGGACAACGCTCTAACCAACTGAGCTACCTGGCAAGGGCCTATATTGGTTTTTAAAATCTAATACTTAGTTTGTTCATTGTTTATTGCTGGTTAGTATCCCACTATAGGAAAATACAATTAATTTGTCCATTCTACTAAATAGTGATTTGGGTTATATCTGATTTTTTAAAAAGCTTTATTGAGGTATAACTGACAAAGTTTTAAGTTATTTAAAGTATATGTTGTGATCTGATATACATATATTGATACATTGTGAAAAGATTCCCACCATTAATTTAATTAACATATCTATTACATCGACCCCCATTTTTTGTGAGAATATTTAAGTTCTACTGTGTTAGCAAATTTCAATTATATAATAAAATA